CTCTAAAAAATCAGTTTACATGTAGACAGACATTTAGGTACCAAATTTCACTAGAAGAAGAGTCAATGTTTCCACTTGTACATGTTTCCCTGTTGTAGAAAGAGGTTATTTTTGTAGAACCTAGAAAATTCTCCAGAATCCATTGCAGGCTGGTTGTGAAAGCAACACGTAATCCAAGTATTTGCATTTGCTAAAGAATATCCTGCTTTTATAGGAACCATTGAAATATCAATTGGGGGAGGAAATTTCATTAACTCTAAGGTCGATCTGTGTATCAGAAGTTACATCTTAGTACATGTAATTTCACAGTGGTTGACCATCTGGTTAAAAATAGTCTTGTTGACCACACACAGTGTAATGTTTTTTAAATTAAAATTTAGCTGTGCCGACAGCTACAGAATTACTTGTTAAAGTTAGTGCTTATAGACACCAGCAGTTAGGGGGTGGATTTAAGATGTTAACAAAATCAGTCTTATGGAAAAGACATACTTTTTTATAATTGTATTTCCCAAATGCTAGCTAATGCAGCTGGAAAGAGTGGTTGACAGTTATTTTTAGCTTCATAAAAATCTTTAAGTTTTCAGGGAAAAAGTTAAAATAGTCTTGTTGTCTTTTTAGCTTCATAAAAATCTTTAAGTTTTCGGGGAAAAAGTTAAAATAGTCTGTTGTCTTCTTTCCTTTCTTTTCTTTTTTTTTTTTCTTCCCCTTATCAGAAAGAACATGGCATATTGAATGGATGGCAAAATGGTTTCATCTGGTATACTGGGCAGTGATACTTGTCTTAATTGGCTTCAAGATTTTCTTGCTTTTGCTGTAAGGACAATGAAGTTGTCAGAGAGGGGAAAAGTGGCATCTGTGTTCTTCAGATTTCTAAGTAAAGTTGAATCATATGTGACAGCAATCAAGTCCAATAGAGGTAAAACAAAAAAGAAAAACATTAAAATTAAATGCTAAGAAGAGACTTCCATAGTTGGCAATGAAATGCTTCACTTTCATTGTAGCATTTGCATTTTTTTACCACATGCATACCTTGCTGTGAATTAACAGCTCTAGTTGGATTTTTTGGGATTTCTTTTTTAAGGTACAAAGTATAGATTTCCAGTGCTCATACCAAAAGTTCACTGTCACTTGGTAGCCCAGTGCTAGGCTAGTACACTTCTTCTGGAACCATCTTTGGAGAGAAACACTACATCTGAGACACTTGCATACTCCAAGACCAGCAGGTGCCCCTGTGGGGTTGAGGGGTGGGTGGGAGCACTCAGGTACTGCTGTGATGTGATTCAGGGAACGTGCTGTGATGAGCTGCTCTAGTTGTGCTATAATGACTTTTGATGCTATCTGCCCCTCTTCATCATTGATTTTTCCATCTGTGACTGCTGGACATGGCACATGGAATCATAGCGTGGTTTGGGTTGGAAGGGACCTTTCAAGATCATGTAGTCCAACCTGCCTGCCATGGGGAGGGACACCTTCCACTAGACCAGGTTGCTCAAATCACCATCTAGTCTGACCTTGAACATCTCCAGGGATGGGGCATCCACAGCTTCTCTGGGTAATCTGTTCCAGTGTCTCACCACCCTCATCGTAAAAAAAATTCTTCCTTATATCCAATCTAAACCTACCCTCTTTCAGTTTAAAACTGTTGCCCCTTGTCCTTGTCACTCCAGGCCCTGGTAAAAAGTCTCTCTCCATAATTTTCAATAAGCCCCCTTTATATATTGAAAGGCTGCAATATGGTCCCTCGGAGCCTTCTCTTCTCCAGGCTGAACAACCCCAACTCTCTGAGGTGCTCCAGGCCTTTCACCATTTTTGTTGCCCTCCTTTGGACCCGCTCTACCAGGTCCATGTTGTTTTTGTACTGGGGATCTAGAGCTGGATGCAGGACTCCAGATGGGGTCTCATTGTGTAAGTTTGTCCAGCTTTAATTAGCTCAACTGTTTGTAGAATCACATCTGTCTTCTGCATTGCTGAGATTCATCATATGAGATTATTTGCAGGGGGAAATGTTGTATAATGAAGACATTGTCTTTTTTTTGACTTAGCTGTGAATAAGTAGAGTTGTTTTGTCTCTCAGATTATCTGCTTGTCCATATATTGATTTGTGTCCTCTAATTAAAAGAAAAATGCTAACCATTACTGGTTAAAAACAAGCACTTCCCCCCCCCCCCCCCCCCCCCCCCCCCCCCCCCCCGCAGCCCCGCTCGCCCCCC